ACACAGCTAGGATTCAAATTCAGGTCTTCCTGACTTTACGTCCAGAGAGCTATCCACTTCACCATCTAACTGTCTAAAAACATTTAATGCCTTTCTTGCAAACATAGGAAAAGGCTATAGATATTTTATCCACATATTCAACATTTGTGTACTTTCCTTTATATCCTTAGGGTTCTTGTAAGAGGCAGCATGGCTAAGTGGATAGTAAGATAGCTTTGCAGTCAGGAAGCCTTGAGTTCAAATTTCACCTCTGATAAGTACTGGCCGTATGACACTGGGCAAGCCAGTGAACAACAGTATCATGGAAACAAGGAGCATGAACTTGGACAAACTTTGGGAGATTGTGAAGGATAGGAGGGCCTGGCATGCTATGGTTCATGGGATCAAGAAGAGTTGGATATAACTGAATGACTGAACAATGAGGTCAGTGAATATCTCAGTGCTCCCAAGCAATTCCCAAGACTATAAATTGCAGAGTAAACACTAATGCACATTTATTAATAGAGGAAGTTTCCTTTTCAGAAAGCCCTTATACCAATGAAATCAGAGGTTTGATCTGGAAAAAAAAAATACCTGTTTCAGTATCTTCTGCCTTGTAAAGAGATAAGCTTTTCACTTGTTCAAGATAACACCTAGCAATGTATCACACCATAAATAAATATTTAATATGTCATTTCTGACGAGAATGTGTTATCATAAGTACATATATGAAGAGAGATATATAAGCATTAAAATATGTATGCATATACACATATGCATATACATACGGTATCCATCTACACATGTACATGGGGTATATGGGGTGTTCAGGGAGGACTCTGGTATGAGGGCTTGCCAAGGCCTTTGCAGGGCTTCTCGTGGTGTCCACCTTCACACAATTCTCACCTGCAGCTCCAAGAAGCTGTAGCTTGCATAGTGCCCAAACCCCTGTAAAACCATTTCAGCAGACAAGCTAAACCAGACTGATGGTAACCTCCAGGCCTCCAACCTATCTACCCCAAGTGTGTGAAGACTTCCCCAGTAGAATAGGCAGATGAGAACAGTGTGTTCCAATAGCCACGAAGGCGGCTAAAGCTGGTGCTGTGGAGCACTTAGAGCTTGGTCAAACATTGTAGACACCAAGGCCACCCACTGCCTCCTGGGCCATCACCAGCCAACCTGACTTTTGTCCTGCCACTGAACTTTGATGACTCTGGAAGAGAGAGTGAGGCCAATGACTTTACACAGCTCTGCCTCTCTTAAATGCAATGCACACACAAGTCTAGACATTATCTGTGATGTCTTTAGTCCTCTTTAAAACGACACATGTGCATATACATACACATACCCCTGTGTATGTATAATTCTCTAATTGAAATGCAGAAAAGCAATCCAATCAGTCATCAAGACCTTTCTGGCTTCATAGTGATCAAGGAAAAAGGCGTCAGAGCTCACTCCTAGCTGTATTTTGGAAGATACTAAAAAAAATTTTTTTTAAATGGAAAAAAAGGTTTGTAGGCATAAAACAAGCAGACCACTTTTCCAGAAATATCACAGCCAATCAGAGCTTATCACATCAAGCTCAACATCAGTAAACAGTGATATGGTAGCCAAAAAAAGCTAACCCAGCTTTAGGCTGCACTGAGAAGTGTAGGAAGACTCAACAGGTCAGAAAGTAGTGTGTCATTCCTCACAAACAGTTAAGTTTAGTAGAGTGCCTTGTACAGAATGGGCAGGGAAAATGTTATTAAATTGAAATTAATTTAATTGAACTGTCTAGGGAAAAGAGTCAAAGACAGGAACAGAGTAAGTAGGTATGAGTCCATTAGAACTGGTGGTATACAGGAGACTGCCTGCTGCAAACTTATGGGAGGACATGTATGAGAATTGTACAGACACGGCAGACACATGGCTGTGATTTGCATTGCTGGAGGAGATAGCCACATCATAGATCCGTTGGAGCATTAGAGTGAGTATTGGAGCATAAGGTAATGGTAATTGCAGCGTGACTAGGATACTATCCAAGAATGTATTTGTGGCCTTACTCTTAGCCATGCAACCCCAGGAATCAGTAGATGAAATAATATTATGCAGAACTGTTTCTTCATTCACATTTGGTATGAGTGTTTTATGTCTTTGAAAATTTTGTCATGTTCGCTGTGAAGATAGAGTTATGCTGGTCAGCTTTCCCTTCTATTCCATATGGCCAATGTATTCTTTAGATGGCCAAGACACAATACTACAGGGCTTGACATGTAACAATTCATCTCTCCATTTTCCACCAGCTGTAATGTTTTGGAATTCTACATCATGCCTCCATACTGTGTAGTTCCCCACCATTCCCCACACAACCCTTTCAGCATCATTTTGTGTGTGGTCTTCCTCCATAAGATTGTAACCTCCATGAGGGCAATGAGTTTCTTTTTTGTGTTTGTTTTTCCAGAAATTAACACAGTGCCAGACACATGGTAGACACTAAAAAAAAAAAAAATGTTTATTGACTGAGTCAATGAGTTGGGAGAAATCTTACAGTTTATCCAGCACAACTCTCTCATTTTTCAACCTGAGAAAACTGAGGCTCAGAGAGATTAAGTGATTTAACAAGGTTCTCCAGCTAATATTGCTAGTAGGAGATCTGGGATTAAAATCCAATCTTTTAATACCTGAAACAGTGCTATTTTTCGTATATCATGCTGACATTAATGTTTATTTGAATGACTTGCTTACAATGAACAAATGTCTCTAGCTCTGGTCTGTAATTCCAATGCCAGCTTCTAAAATGTTTTGTTCCACAGTAAGCCATGGAAGGCAAGAAACCTTAATTGGAAAGTAACAGGTGGTAGAAATGAAAAGCAAGCAGAGAGGGATTAATACTAACATTTGGAAGAAGAAAGGGGACAGTGCAGGAGCTAACTCCAGAGCAAGAATTATCATTTTGGGGTTAGGCTAGCAAGATAGTCAAAACTCCTTCCAGCTTTTTATCCACCTCCAAACCCACTTTTTGGAGTTTCTGTCTCAGGCTTCAGAAGGTATCACCTTATGGCTAGAAGTTAGAGCAGATCTCATTATTCCCAAGGGAAGGGGAACTATTGGGAAAGGGTAAATGCATGACCCTCTTGGGGATGGGATGGAGTGTGTTTGGAGGAGGTGGGGTTGGTATGGGGCATTCTAGGCTGGGACTTGAAGCATTCTGAAACATTATTCATTACACAGAGTAACTGGGTTCCATAGCACTAGTAGTATTTTGGCACTGTGCTTAAGGTACATCGTGGGTTAAATTGACTTTTATGGGTTTCCCTGAGGACCTAACTACCACGTATAACACTGTTTCTATGGAGAAATATAATCTGAGAACCAAAAAGGTTTATAAAAGTTAAAATTAAAAAGCTCTTTGGGAACACACAGTGTTCATCCATTGGGATGTTGCTTATAAGTATTATTTAATTATTTTACCCACCATAACTTCAGTGATGAGACCGTAATCTTTATTTTAATAACCACCAATTTTGTTTAATACACAAAGGGGAACTGTAATGCTTTAAAAAAAAGTCACAACATTAAAATAACAAGGGAGGTGAGTGGCAGTTCTCCACTAAACCAAAACTAATCTGCATGACAATCAGCAGCTGCAGGCAAAGCCCACTAGTGAGTAGTGAATGGAAACAGTGGAGTGTTTGGACAGCAATCCTTTGTTTTGAACAGCACTCTGAGCCTCATCCAGGAAACCACAGAACCACTGACCCTAATATTTTCATCCTTTCTGGAGCTGGTATACCACATCAAAGGTGTCTCAACAGCTGTCCTTTTCCCTTATAAGGCAGAAAGCCAGGAAAAAATCTGTTCCCATCATAAAATACGACCCCTTTCCCCTTTCCAAATTAAGCAAAATGCCCATTAGTTTCATTCTTAGCATAGCACAACTTCTTTGTCTCAGGGAAGAGGTCACATGGGATCTGGTTCATATTCCTAGTTCATGTACAGCTTAGACCTCATCCAACCTTTAAATTCAATTGGCTATAAGGCAAATTGGGTTCTGATTTTCTGTCTGGCACTGGTATCCTCTTGCATTAAATATAAATTGAGCCTTGAAACATTCCTCTAGCAGTATATTCTGCAAAGATTAATGTCAGGGCCATTTAAAGCAATTTCTTAATTGATTGCATTAGTCTCTCCATGGATGATGTACTGTGTAAACCACCTTACATTTTATTTAGTCCACTTGATAGTTGGTCCAAACCTAACAACAGTATGAGAGGATGAAGGGAGTAACGTGAATGCAGTGTAGGGGTAAGGTAAGGACACTGGATTTAGAGTCAGAGGTCTTGGATTTGGATCCTAGCTCTGTCACTTATAGCCTGAGTGACATTGGACACATTATTTAGCTTTTCTTTGTCCTCAGTTTCTTCATCTATAAAATGAGGGCATTGGATTAGATGGCCTTTATTATCATTCTTTATGAAAGTTAGTAATTGTTTCCATTGGTTTTTTTCATTGAACCTCTAGGATTCTCTAAGTAAACCATCATATCATTAGCAAATTGAATTTATGGTATCTTTCTTCCTCCTCCTTTGGGCTTTTATTTGTTGTTGTTCAGTCCTTTCAGATGTGTCTGATTCTTTGTGACCCCATGTGGGTTTTTGTGGGGGGTTGTTGGCAGAGGTACTGGAGTGGTTTGCCATTTCCTTTTCCAGCTTACAGATGAGGAACTGAGACAAACAGGGTTAAGCCTAGAGTCACATAGCTTGTAGGTGCCTGAAGCCAGATTTGAACTCAGGAAAACTCATTCTTCTGACCTCAGGCCCTGTACTTTATCCACTGTGCCACCTAGGATGGACTCCCCCTAACAGAAAGTCTTCTTTCCTCCCTCTAATTATTCTATAGTACTTCGTTTCGATATCTCTTGATCCCTATCATGTTCTATTTTGTTTATTTGTGTCCAAGGCATCTCTCTTTTGTAGAATATAAACTACATGACAGGAGGGACCATGACATTTTTTTTTATTGCCAGAACCTAGTACACAGTAGGGACTTAATAGTTTGTCAAATTGAATTACAAATTACTTTTTTCCAGTGTATTAATGCATATCAAGGTCTACTCTCCTGGTTGCAGAGATGAGACAATATTCTCTGCCCCCTGCAGTCTACTTTCTATATCTCACATTTACACAGTGCTCTATGTCTTAGTTGGTTTTTATTAAGTATTTATTATGTACTGAGGATAAGACAAAGGAAAAAAATTATCCCTGCCCTCAAGGCACTCATATTCTAAGCTTCTTTCACAATTACCCTATGAGGTCAGTAAAGCAGAGCTTATCCACATTTTTTCAAATAAGGAAACTAAGCCTCACAGAAGTTAAGGGACTTACTTGCCCTTAGTCACAAATCTTGTAAGTGGTAGAGGTTGTGGGCTAGAAGAATAGGATAAGGCTCACATTTCAGACATGGCATATTCATTTGTTTTGATTATATTTATCTTCTCTAAGAGAGGGTTCTGATACAAAGTTTTATTTGGAGGGTGGAGACAGAGTCAATGAGAAATGACAGTTATGTTTTTACAGAAGCGTTAATAAAACATTTTTAAAAGAAAGGTATTTTAAGTTAAATAACTTAACAAAGTAGCCTGATGTATGAACCACAGGGCTTTGGTTCATATGACATGTATCCAAGTCTAAGATCCTAAATAACTTTAATAGACTTGAGAAAAAGTAAAGTTCTCTAGAACTCAGTTCCTCCCTTGCCCCCAGCCTATAAAGTGGCAATAATACTTGTATCTATCTCCTTCAAAGGGAAATTGTTGAAAATGTTCAATACTTCCAAAGTAGTCACTGAGCTCTTCGTGAGTTCCTGTGGACAAAAAATTCATCGCCTGGTGGTCACTTTTTTATTGTTGAGATCCCCCAAACTTATGTAGGTTAGTCCGTAGATATCTAGAGATCTATTGCTGGCAATCAAAACCCTTCCAGCTTGGTAGAAACTACTAAAGTTATGGTCTACTATACCTTTGAGAGCTCAGTCACCTCTTACCATAATGAGGTATCAGAGTAGGATTGCTGAAGGGTGGTTAAATAGTGGAAAGAGCACTAAATTTAGAATCCAAATACTTCAATTTGTTTATACTTTATAGCAATATTTGATACCTTTGTGACCTTGAGCACTTACTACTTTATTCCTCTGGGTCTCAGTTTCCACAAGTAAAAATTAGTGGGTTGGACTCTGAAGTCCTTTTTAGCTCTAAATTCTAAATGTGTAAACCACTTCTAACTCTTTGAGGGGAAAGGAATATTATGTAAATTTAATAATTGTTATTTGCTTATTTGGCAAAGAGGATCCAGTTTGGAGCTATGGTTTTGAAACTCTGAGGGGAGTCCCAACATGGAAACTTCCTTCATTAACACAGATTGACAACTCTTTTATAACTTTTAGAAAGGTATCTGGGGCACTGAGAAACATGCCCTTGGTACATTGCCAATATGTGTGACTTTAATCCAGTTCTTCCTGACACCAAAGCCAGCCCTCTATCAGCTATGCCACACTGCCTAACGGTTACTAGCTCACTGAAACTAATAATCATATGTGAAAGTACTTTAAATAATACAAAGAAATATACAAATTTTCAGCATTACGTTTGGAAAGAACCATTTCCCATTCATTTGGAAGGTGAATCTGCGAGACTGACTAATAAATAAAGAGGGCTCCTTGAACTATACCATAATGACAATCCAGTGTGTGGACTCTGGGCATTCATTGCCTGTCAAAGGTCTGCTTTCAAACAAATCTCCTTTTTATGCAGCTGTCTAATCTGGAGAATGTTTATATAAACTATTGACACATACAGCAAGCTGGATAGTGAGGAGGAGGAAGCAGATAACAAGATAAATTGTAACCTTATCCTCATGAAAAATTCATACTAAAAAAAAAATTTTTAAGCCAGCAAAGAATACAGAGATAATCACAAGTTTGGAAAATTCCAACTTAGTTCATTCTCTTGCCTTTGACATTTTAAGAAACTCTCAACCACCAAGGCCAATGGAAGTAAAAAAATAAACATTTATTCCCTTTGTTTCTTGAGCAATTAGTGTCTTCTATAACCAGAAAGCATTGATGAGACAGTGGTCATGACTCTTCGTGATCCAGTAGGAAGCATTCTAGATTTAGAATCAAGGCACCTGAGTTCAAATGCGACCTTTGTCAATTACTACCAGTTACTACCTAAATCACTTATCTGTCTCTGAGATGTACTTTCTTCACCTATAAAATGAGGAGGGATTGACCTAACTGTCTCCCAAGGACACTTCCAGCTGGGGATATGATGGCAAATGTTTAACAAATGTCTTTAGGTGGGAGGGGAATGTAGACTTGACACACTTTCATATTTAATCTGCATTCTGGATATTTTCTCCATCAATTTCTTGAGTCTAGACAATCAACAAAATAATAAATCAAGCCCTGATTTATGGGGTTTGCCAATTTCCAAGTTGTAAGTGTTCATCCTAAAAATTGAACAATTAGCTTTTCTGACCAGTTAGAGCTGGCTCTACCACACCTCTTCTTCAGGCTCTAAATCTATGATTCCAGGATCATTGTTATTCATCAGGAAGCTCGGGTGGTTCAGCATTTATAGCTCATAGATGCCACCTGGTGGATACATTAAAAAAAAAGAAAATCAATGAATTGACTACACAAAATATCTTTACATCAAAGAAAACTTTATATATTCTTGGCATTATGCTGTAAAAAATTACTTTGAGTAACAAAGAACTAAAGTGGGAGACATATCTCTTTAGGAAAACAGGTGCCTGTAGTCTACCATGGTTAAAAAAAATAAACTTTTTCTGTCAGGAAGTAGTAATATCTCTGATTTTTTTTTCCCTTTAGCTTTGGCTCAGCAACATATAAAATGGTAAATTTCAACTTCATATTCAAGCATAGTTAAGTTTACATCCACTACTACTTACTAGTATTATTACTATCACTACTATTACTCTGTCTATGGCTAAATAAAGAGTGACATGAAGGGAGTTGGATTCCTCCTTTGTCCATACAATCTAACATGTATACCTACATTTAAGCTCATTTGGGCTATGATTTGTATATTAAAATGGTGCAACTGATTCTCTGTCATTTTCCCTAACAAATAAAGCTCTATACGCTTTCACATGGCTTTATTTATAAACAAGAGCATGAAATCCCTTCCCCAATGTTTTTTGCCTTCAATTATCTCCCAAATATTGGCTCCTTCCCCTTTAACTGTGGGGGTCCCCTGAAGTTCTATCCCAAGCCCTATTTTCTTCTTCCTCTATACTATTTCACTTGGTGATCTCATCAGCTCCCTTGATTTCAGTGATCAACTCTATGCAGATGATTCTCAGATCTACTAGTCCACCCCTAACCCTTCTCTTGACCTCCAGTCTCACTTCTCCAACTGCTTACTAGACATCTTGAACTAGATATCTTGCAGACATCTTAGACTCAACACATGTCCAAAATTGAATTGTCTTTTCCCAAAAACTTCCCTTCCTCCTCATTTCCCCAATATCAAGAGTACTACTATCCTCCAAGTCACACCCAGGTATCACCTTGGACTTCTCCCTCCCTCCCTCCCTCTCTCTCCCTCCCTCCCTCTCTCTCTCTCTCTCTCTCTCTCTCTCTTTCTCTCACCAACCCTTTGTCCAATCAATTATCAAGTCCTGTCATTTCTACCCTCATAACAAAGCAAAATAGCTGTCTGATAAAGCTTTACAAATAGCTGAGGAAAGCAGGAAAGCAAAAAGGAAAGAAGAAAGGGAAAGGTATACCCAAATGAATACAGAATTCCAGAGAATAGCAGGGAGAGATAAGGTTTTCTTAAATGGACAATGCAAAGAAATAGAAAGGAAAAAACAATAGAGAAGACAAGGGATATCTCTTCAAGAAAATTAGAGATACCAACGGAAAGCTTCATGCAAAAATGGGCATGATAAAAGACAAAAATGGTAGGGATTTAACAGAAGCAGAAGATATTAAGAAGAGATGGCAAGAATACACAGAACTATTGAAGAAAGATCTGAACATCACTGATAAACACAATGATGTGGTTACTGATCTAGAGCCAGATATCCTGGAGAATGAAGTCAAGTGGAATTTAGGAAGCATTGCTAAAAATGTTAGTGGAAGTGATGGGATTCCAGCTAAGCTTTTTAAAATCCCAAAAGATGATGCTGTTAAAGTGCTGCATTCAATATGCCAGCAAATTAGGAAAACCAATAGTGGCCACTGGATTGGAAAAGATAGGTCTATGTCCTAATCCTAAAGAAGAGAAATGACAAAGAATGTTCAGATTACTGAACAGTTGTGCTCATTTCACACACCAGCAAGATTATGCTTAAGATTCTGCAAACTAGGCTTCCACAATATGTGAAGCAGGAATTGCCAGAAGAACAGCCTGGCTTTCAAAGAGGCAAAAGAACTAGAAAATTGATGCTTTCAAATTGTTGTGCTGGAGAAGACTTTTGAGAGTCCTTTGGACAGCAAGGAGATCAAATTAGTCAATACTTAAAGAAATTAATTCAGACTTTTCTTGGAAAGACAAATACTGAAGTTGAAACTTAAATACTTTGGCCGTATAATGCAAAGACAGGACTCATTGGAAAGCGCCTTGATGTTGGTAAAGATCAAAGGCAAAAGGTAAAGGAAACATTAGAGGATGAGATAGAAAGATAATGTCATTGAAGCAATGAATATGAACTTGGACAGACTTCAGGAGATAATAATGAAAAAACATGGCAAGACTTGTATGAACAGATGTAGAATGACATGAGCAGAACTAGAAGAAGTTATGTAACAACAACAAACATCATAATAAGAAATAATTAATAACCTAATCATCAGCCATAATTCCTGATGATCCATAGTGAAACATGCCACTCAATAGAGAACTGATGGACTCAAAGTAAAGTTTAAGACATTTTTTTTGGACACGGTCAATGTGGGAATTGGTTTTATTTTACCATACATATTTGTTACAATGTTTGTTTTTCTTTTCCTTTTTTCTTCTTTCTTTCTTCTTTTTTTTGTCAGTTGGGAGAAGAGTTGGGAAGGAGAGAAAATAGATTTTTACTAATTAAAAAAAATTTTAGAAGTCAAAAGATTAGAATTTGAAGGGATCTTGGAGATAATCTATTCCAACAGCTTCATCTTATAAATGAGGAAAGTGAGGCCCAGAGAAGTAAAGTGATTTGCTCAAAGTCACACTACTTCAAAACTAAGATCTCAGTCCAATTTTTCTCACTCCAGATCAAGTGTTTTTCATAATATGTCCCCCTACCTAATTTCAAAAGGTCAGAGACTAGACTGGTGATTTCACTGGTCTAAGGAACACCCCATTTCTCTACCAATGCAGATCATCATCTTCTCTGCAATTTATATTCTTAAAGAGTTGCTTAAAGCTTTGAAGGTTAAGAGATTTGCCCAGGGTCACATAGCAAGTATCTGTCAGAAGCTGCACTTGAACCCAGGTTATCCTAACTCTGAGGCCAGTGCTTTGTTCACCACACCATGTTGTCTCTCACCTTCACAGCATATTTCAAAATTAAAGGGGAAAAAAAGGTAAAGGTAGGAACTTGTAATCCTATTGTGGACTTCATTTCTTTCCTTCTCTGCTTTTCTTTGCTAGTAATGGTGGAACTGATGCTCACAACAGTCACTTTATATGTCAGTTATTGTGCTTCCATATTCTTAAGCCCCAAATGGGGCTGTATTCCCAATTTCTGGGTTCAATTAGCCCTTATTCCTAACTCCTTAAATCATATCCCTGGCACTTAGCCTAGGAACAATTTTTAAATTATTTTTAATCAAACAGTTCACATAAGCTCTGTGCCTCAGCTTCCTCATTTGTAAAATAAAGTGATTGAACTAAATGGCCTTTGATGTCCCTTCCAGCATCAGATCTATGGTAGCTTAAAATAAATCCTTTTATAATTTAAACACCTCACATCAACTCCATTTATTTCATGGCCATACTGCCTTCACCTTTGGAGCAGACCTGACTCAGACCAGGCACAATCATTAAGGCATTAAAAAGTGGCTTAACCGAAGCTAGACCCTAAGTAAATTAAATATAGAATTTCACACTGCCTAAGGCTGGCCCTCACAACTAAAGATTTGTAATTAGTCTTTTAATATAAACAGAACCCGAAGTAAATAACTACATTTGACTTGATTATACATTTTACCTATCTCAAACTTCTAACTAGCTAAATTCTCCCTGGGAAAATTAATTCCTAGAAATTATGTACTTTGAGAGGCAAATTAATTCTCTGAGGTCAGTAATGAGTAAAACACAACCTTACATTTAGCAAAACACAACTGGAGTACAACAAACAACCCAGTGGCCTGCAAACACTAATGTAAGCAATTTGCAAATTGGAACCCAAATGGCATCTCCCAAAGGAAAGATGTTTTGTCATTTTTTGGGGTAGCAGAATATGACAGAAAGAATATTTAGCTGACTATATAAAGACTTGGATTTGAGTCTCTGAAACTAAATAGTCATTTAACTACAGGCAATTAATTCAGTTCACAAAAGCATAAACTCACAAAATAGCAGAGTTGCAAAAGACCACCAAAATCATGTAATTTAATCCATACTTGAACAAGAATCCCATCTCAAGTGTCCCCAACAAGGGGTCATTCAGTTTTTACCTGAAGGCCTCCAATGGGCAGGAGCCTGCCTCCTCCTAAAGCAGTCCTTTCCACCTTTGGAAAACTAGGTAGTACAGCGGATAAAGTACAGGGCCTAGAGTCAGAAAGCCTCATCAATTTTAAGAAGACTGAAAAGCCAGGAAGAGACCAGAGTGTAAAGGTCTTAAAAGCCAGACAAAGAATGTTAGATTTCATCCTGGATGTAAGAGCAATGGACATTATTCCTACTCTTTTGAATGGTTATAGATCTCATTTAGGAGAGTCTACAAAGTCCCAAGGCTTGATAGAATCAGCAGAATGCCATCTGCAAAGAAAGAGTTGTACTTAGTGGACCTCACTGTGAATAGGGAATGCCTCTTTCATTAGAATTCTTTTTTTTATTTGAATTCTTTATTGAATATCCTCCATTGATGGGGGTGGGGCCCAAGCCAAGATCTTCCCTTTTGCCCCAAAGGGAATCTGACTCACAGGCCCCAGACCCTCATCTCCCTTTGAAAGCCTTAGCCTTACCTTTTAATCTCATTCAGATCTGGCTCCCTCTTGTCTATAGGCCCCAGAAAGGACTTCCTTTATCTCTTTTGAAAGTCCTAGCCCCACCTTGATTTTGTGCAGATGCCTTTCAAACTTCTGCCTTCCTGTTCCCTCCATTAGCTATTCCCATTGTCTATTCAATCTCTCAGACCTCCCCAATTAGAATTCTTACCTAGACCCTTTTCCCAGCCCCCTTCTCTGGCCACCCAAAGCTACTTTAGTATTTAAGATCCACCTTGGCCCTTATTCAGATGCTAAGAATCTCATGCCCGCACCCGGCTGAGAATCTCTCGTGCCCTAAAAGCTGAGCCTTTCTCATGCCTGCCCTCCTTATGGGCGTCACCTGGCCTCTGTGATTTATCACTAATAAACTTTTCCTCTGGCTGAAGAAGATTTGAGTTGAATTCATTCAGCAGGGCCCGGTA